CCAGCTGTTATTCTCGTTTCGAAAAAAAAAAAAAAAGAAAAAAAAAACTTGCACTCGCTACCATTTGCAACGAGACGTCCGGAAATTTCAGATCGGACTTTCGCGTCTTGGCTGTTGACAGTGCAAAGTAAGGAGAGAATTTCGATAACTTCATAAAATGGAAGCTCTAAAAGCGGAAGTCGTGCTTTCTCGAATCGTTCGAAGTTTGACTTGCTACTTGAGCGTGACGCGTGTCTGAACTTCACGGCGGTTGTTTCGCACTGTTGCACGATACGTTCTTCGTACTTCCTCGCCCTTGCTTCCTTTCGTTGCACATTACTTACGGCGTGGCGCACGTGAACAAAATAAAAGAAACGGGATTAGGAACGAAATCGGTGGCGAGATAAAGTGAAATTACGGGCAACGAGAGAAGAGGCGGCCGTACACTTGGTACAAGTTTCATAGCGACCAGGAATACCGCGTGAAGCGAGAACAATAAAGCGTTCCATTCCTTTATAAACAAATCTTCATTCCGCCGTTCTTCCGGCCGTGCTCGAAAAACTAAAGAATCGCTAAATCAAGAGGGCTTTAAACTTGGAAGAAACTACGGCACAATAACTCGGAATGAAGTTCGAATTTAACGGCGATTCGTACGGAAGAGAGTGTACAATGCTCTCTTTCTCCGCCCTACAAATTATTACATCTCGTGATTTAAATGGGACGATGACGCGTGTGTTTTCGTGCAAAATTTTTGCCCAGCTGAAACATCTCGATTTTTGCATTTTTCTCTTTGTTGGATGAAACAACAAACAGACCTCTGCCATTGTCAACCGGTTTTCTAACGAAATCTCGAATCAGCCAGCGTGAAAATACAGATTACGAGCGTGCGCAATGAATCCCTGGCGTCTATTTATATGGTAATTTATATTCACTTTATCGAGCGAATGCTCGTTCGTATGCAAAAACGAGATTTCAAAGTTACGCGAAGTCACGACGTGTCGTGTGGAAGGTTCTCGATCGGTTGCATCATTTTCTGATATCGAGTATATTTCATCGTGTCTTGGGAACCTCGAGGCAGTCGGTGTCTCGAGCCAGTATACTCTCTCTTCCATTTTCCTGAAGACGCGTTAAATTTGCTTCGACGAAACAGTGTATGTAAACTGAATTTTTAAGCAAACTGACACTCGAACTCGATGTTCGTAGTGTTTGAGCAAAATGAATTCTAATCAAACTGTTTGACAAGCATTGACACCCGTACTCGACGATACCTCTGACGAGCAATTTTAATAACCCGTAAGACCGCGACAAGAGACACTTACTCCACCCGTTTTCTCTCACTTTCCATCTTATTAGCTCCTCACTTTGTCCGAGGCAGCCCGTTGAAGGTTGTTCGATAACTCCGCTTTCCTTAACAAAGAAAATTCCGTGCACGAAGAAGCGATAAAACAAAGAACAGGCGAACAATTGATAACTAGTTTCAATAGACTGTCAAATGCGAACGAACACTATTAATTACCTATAACAATTGTCCATTAATCTTCGCGGACGTTTATTGAAATCACAGGGATATTGCGACCGCGGACTCCGCGTTGGTAAACGAATATTGAAATTTCCGTTAAAAATTATCACGGAAATGTGTTCCTGTTATTTTAATCGTTCGTCAAATATATATATACATAGTTTGCGAATATATTTCGCTCTCGATATTGCGTATATTTGCGTTTAATTTGCACGATATTCTTCACGAGGGGGGAAAATGGGACATTTAGCGTAATTACGATAGAACACAACGACGGTTGACGGTTTAAGTCAGCATGAATAATTAATTCAGCGAATCACTGTTCCAGCGCAATGTCGTTATGTCGCGCTAGCATCTCATTGTTGCTTTATCGACGTGCGATTATCATTAAATTAATATCATTTGTTCATTAGCTCCAGTCGTCTCGTTTGCGTATTGTTATATCCGTTCTCTCAATCTGCCGTGTACATTTTTCAGTTTGACGCCGATAATTCTCAAGTTCTTCCGCTTTTCCGAAAGAAGATTGTCCAACTTTTTTTTTGTATTCTACGTATTTCTCGTGTTCGCGGTAATATCTTTTGGCCAAGGCAGAATGAAAGCTATTTCAACGGAACACACATGCTTACGACCGGTGCAGGATGGTCATTAAGACGTTTAGGCTAGCTTTCTAATTGCGACACAGTAAGTTACACCAAGGAACCTATCCGGAGGTGCAACAATTTCGCAATGAGTAGCTGTTGCATTATTCGTATTTATGGTTCCCGAAAGAAGGAATTATATTAAAGTTGCGATTGAGATCTCGAAGATTGCAACTGCATGCTTGAAAAATAGAACGGAAGTCAGAAGAGTTGCTTGCAAACTTTTGTCTCCTTCAAGAGCAATGTTTACGATGTTGAATTTGTACAATTCTTACAACTAAGAGAAAGTTTATAGACATCTGTTAGACGTCTGTAAATGTTTCTTATCGTGAAAGGAACCGGAAATGAAAATTCGTCAACAATATTTTTATATTATTCAAGCTGTGTAATTACGTCGATTGTCCTTTCGTCGTTCGACGAAATCACAGCGGCGTTTTTACTGCTCTGTTCTAGATTGTTGTTGCTCCGTCCGCACGCGGTGGCTTTGCGTACAGCATAATCTGGTTTATGCTGCATGGGAAATGTTAACTACAGGAATGCACGCGACACGCGGTGGTCGCGAATATACCGTGAAAAAACGCGCGTTGTCGTCGTCATAATTGTTAGTTTTACGAGCACTGCGTACGCGTCGTTGAAAAACGGTGGAAAACGCGCTGTGCAGAAAGGTTGAGGGAGCTTGTTCGATGGCAACAGCTTCCGGCAAATCTTTCATCGTATATTTTATCCTAACGTGATGAATGGAGGGCGGGGGGGGGGGAGGAGGGTGCAATCCGTTTCCCGTGGACGAAATTAGAGCGACGCCGCGTGATATCGTGTATTTATGTACGCATACTCGATGCGCATTGTCAACGTTTAAAAAGCATCGCGCCTAAATGCAATCAAGTGCGTCTCATTCAGTTGCTCGCGAATCGATTTGCTACATTTAGCTTCGCGTGTCGCTAATGAGCGGTATTTCAACCGCGTCCGGCTGTTCTTCGACTTCAGCCGCGATTACGTGCCATTTTCGCGACATCGTCCCTCTTGAAACGTTGCTTAGATTACTTACCAGGAACATATTCGGTTGCCCAATAAGTCCGTGCGATCTTTTTCCAAGTAAATGACAGAAAATTTTTTTTCATATTAAACAACAACTTTATTCAAGAATGTATTGACCATTTTGATCCACTATTTTTTGCCATCTTTCTGGCAGCTTTCAAAACAGTCCTGGTATTTTATGGCAAAAAACTGATCCAGGTACCGTTTGATATAGTCATCGAAGTTAAAGATTTTTCCTCTTAGAGAATTCCGAAGAGAGCGAAACAAGTGAAAGACTGATGGTGCAAGTTCTGGTCAATGTGGATGTGATAACACGTATTTAGCTGCAACATTTTCTGACGAGTCTCTAATGATGTATGACGTCTGATGAAAGACAACTCCTTCGCGATTCACAAATTCTGGACGTTTTTGATAAATGGCATTACTTAATTCATTCAGCTGTCGATAATACACATTCGAGTTAATCATTTCATTCCTCATAAGTAGTTTAAAAAACACGATGTCTTTCCAATTCTACCAGATTGACAACATAACCTTCCTTTGAAAGTGCTTTTGAAGTATTTTAGGCCTGTTCATCACTCTTGTTATCATACTCTTGTTATCACGTTGGATGCATTTTCAAAAATGGATCGTTTTAAAAGTGACTCGCATATGGTAATGCATTTAACCAGATGAACTTTTTTAAGTCGGTGTGATACCCAAACATCGAGTTTATTCACATATCCAAGTGCATTTAAATGATTTTTTACGCTTGATTTTGATACATTCAAAATTTCTGCAACGTCTCGTGTCGTATAGTGATGATTTCTATCGACTAACGTGCCTTTATTTTGTCGCTATCGATTTCTACTGGTTTTCCTGGTACATCCTTAGTGTTGAAATCATCAGAAATTTAGAAATTTAATATATAATATTAAAGATAAAGCATCTTTACCATACATATCACAAATTTTTTTTATGCGCTTGCGTCGCATTTTTTCCTTTTTAAAAATAAAACAACGAAATATGTCGAAATATTGTTTTAATTTGCCATTTTTAAATTAACAGGCAATAGAAAAAAAAAACAACTGACCAATTTACACACAATTTTTCGAAAAAGTAAGCTCGAAATGTCCTCTATCAAATGGACGAACGATCTCCAGGATTGAACTAAAGTTACTTACATTTTACATTTGCCTGCAGCCAAAAGGACAACTGTCGAAAAAAACCGCACGGATTTATTGGCCAAGCTAACATTTTGCACGAAGCAAGAGAA